CTCTCTCTCTCTCTCTCTCTCTCTCTCTCTCTCTCTCTCTCTCTCTCTCTCTCTCTCTCTTTCTCTCTCACGGTGGCGTTGTAGCATATATCGTGAATTTTGCAGGAATTGAATAACGTCGAGGAATTGATGCGTCAACGATTTTACATTCGTGAGAAAAACTGCGTTCAGGAAACACAATAGTTGAATGAACGCTTAGTGCCATTTTCTTTTAGATTTACCGTGGATCCAAAAGAATATCAAAGGCGATAATCGCTCAACAGTTGCACAACCGTAATATTTTTTAAACGCACTCAAAATTACAGAATTTTCTAATGAACTCTCGCGTGTACTCTCGTTGTATCCGATTTCCCGCGGAGAGAAAAGGTCGATTGGAATAATTGTGTAATTGTGGAATAATTATAAAGGAAGCGTTTGCGCGAAGAGATCGCGTATCACACCACAGATACGCGAAGACTTGGTTGGAAAAATTGGTAGAAAGCCGAGGAGAGAAAGCAGGATCGACGAAGAGGAAGAGCCCACGACGCGCTGTTTTCGCGTCCGCGGATGTAAAAATAAGACATTGCCGAAGTGGATCTCGTCCCCACACGTTTTCGTAGATCCGAAAGTGTACTATCGGCTGCTTTCTGACGCGCAAGAAAGTCGCGCGTGATCGATCTTAATTTAGAATTCCCTCTCACGTACTTCGCGTACGCGATCGATGATCCATTCTGGGGAGCGTTTGCTCGCGTCGCCGACACAGGGCTGTTACCTTTCGCGAAGAAATCCGCGATCGCCATCGGCCATCGCTTGCGTTTTGACATCGATGTTGAGATCGAGGTGGCGCGTTTTTCGCCGGATTTATAAATACGCGTGTCATGGAATATGGAACGCGGAGCTGCATTTGACGTAACAACACCGCGGGCAGGTGCGCGCTTGCCGGAGGTAGAAAAAGGGAGCCGATTGCACACGCGTAAACTCATTGCGACGATGTCGCAGTGTCAATAGCGTGAGTCGCGGTGCGATCCAAGTGGAAGCACGCAGACGCGCGATCACTAACTCGCAAATTTCGTTGAATTCCGTTCAGTCGAGGTATCTTTTCGCTTCGCTTGGCTTCGACCAAGGAGGTTCTCTTGACAACGGAGAATCTTCTCGAGAAGCGCGACATCATGGCGACCTTTTTCGCATAAACTCGTGTGAATTTAAAGATCTCTCGAATAAATCGTAAAGAATCGGAAGCTCGTATGTTCCAAGAGAACTTGGAAAATTCCAAATCTGATTCGAAGGCTCTTCCTTGAGTGGTCTCCGCGAGATAGAATAGAGCTTTCCAAGCAATAAGAGATTTTGTAGGAAAACTAAAGAAATGCTCCTTTTTACGACGATTTTCGATCTTTCTATCGTCCGAGTTTGAGAAGCTTAAATTCGCGACATTGGCAAAGTCATTGAAATCGAGTCTATTATCCCTCGCGAATCGTTTTCGCCCTTTTCGCCCTCTCCGATTTATCCTCCAGTATACTAACATTCGAAAGGACAAAGAAAGAGAGAGAGAGAAAGAGATAGATAAAGAGTCGCTCACAGATAAGAAGAAGAGGAACGCTACAGGCAACGCAGCAGGTAGATAGTTGTGAAAGTGCGGTGGTTCTTCCAACACGCATGCCTGAAACTCGTTGACGCCGTCGCGGTTGTCGTCGTCGTCGTCGTCGTCGTCGTCGTCGCCGTCGCGCCTTCGTATCGACGAGTCGCTCGCTACAGCCGAAACGAGCTTCTTCGCGTGTGCCGACGACGAGGATGCGCAAGAGGACGGAAGGACAACAACAAAGAGAAAAAACGCAAGAGCGACGAAAGCAGAGGAGGCCGAGGCGTGTCGGATCACCTGATTCGCGTTACTTATGAAGAGAACGGTCTACGTGACCGGGTCGACAACACCACGTGTCTCTCTGTGACGCCGTCGCTGTCGTCGCGCTTGGCGACGCGCCCGTGCGTCCGCGACCACCTGCGACGGTGCTCGGTTAGCGTCGGCCAGCGTCGGGATCGGGGGATAATTAAAGCGCCGGAAGCGGAGGGAGGGAAGATCGCGACGGTGGTTCTTGCCAGGAGGAAGACGTCATTCGCGACTTCGGGTTGCGTTGCGACAAAAACGTAGCATGGTCGTCAGAGCAAAGTGGAACACGCTCGGAGGTAGAGGTGTAGGTAGGCGACCTGAGGAGGACCTCGTGATAAGAGAGCGAGGTCGCGAGAGGTTGAGGTAGAAGTGCCTCCTCAGCGAACAGGAAACAACGTCGCTTGCTCGGGACCGCGGGAAGTGCGTGCGGTTCCGCCGCGGGAGGACGTCGTCGTCGGCTGTGGTCCCGTCATTTTTCGTCATCCTCACGTGACAACACAGGCAAGAAGAAGTGTGCGCGTTTGCGGCGGATTGCGGTGATATCGCGTATCCGCGAGCGCATGTCACCAGCGCGAATCACGCTCGCGGATGAATATCCGCGCGGAAGACAGAGACGGCAGTGATTTATTTCGGCACGCTGCACTTTCGGAGGCAGAAGAGAGCAGCGGGAGAGGAAGCGAGAGGGAGGGGAAACGGACGGCTCTCGCGTGGCGAGAAAAAGAGAGGTCGCGGGATAGAGCGTGAGTGAGCCCGCTGCTTGCGTCAGTGGAGTACGCCGCGAGGAAACAGCCGCGTTGTTAGTCGCGGAGCGAATCGCCTCTCTCGACCGCAAAAGTCCACGCAGGGCAGAAGAGACGAGAAACAGACGGAAATTGCGGATGGAATTCCAGTGTGGACGGACGCGTGCGTCCTCCGTGTGCACGCGTGCATCAGTGCGCTCCAACGGGACGAAGCAGAAGAGCGCGTTTCGATTTCGAAGGTGCGCCTGGAGGAGCTGAGTGAAGGACTCGTCGAGCCAGCCGATCCTGACGCTATACGCGTCTGCTGGAGCTCTAGCGGTGAAGCGATCGAAGAAAAGACTCCGCGGAACTCGATTCACGCTATGACGCGTGAAGGAAGAAATGCGGACCACAGGATAACGACGAGGTACTCGACGATCGCGAGAGTGCACCTTTATCCGCCGATTTAACACTATCATATTGAGTATACACGCGCAAAATTGTCGTAGAAGACTCTTCTGGCCAGGTGTGACGGCAGACTTCTCGCAGAGAGGTTCGTCGCGGAGAGGAGGAGAGATTCCACAGACGGTCTCTTGAATTTACGCTACTACGCAAACAGTGGAATAATCCACGCGGCTGTAAAGGTGAAGAAATTGGCGGCGATAAGCGCCAGTACTATCTAATCACGGAATCGCTCGCGTCGTGTACACAACGCGATTCGTTTTAATCGGCATGGCGCGTGTAACGTTCCGAGTTTCGCTCCGTTCGCGCTGATCGACATGGTGTCAATCTGGATACAAGCGGTGGATCATCCGGTTACAGTCCGATCGAGGAACCTTCAGCCCGATCTTTTCTCCGATCGTCTCTGTGGTCCGGAAGAATCGAAGGACGATGCACTGGTGTTGATGCGCGAAGCGCGCGCCAAAGTCGTACCACGAGAGAAACGCAGACAACCTTTGCCCTTTAATCGTTTTCGCCGACCGGAAGCAGATCAATGATTATGCTGTGACGTATTCATAATAATCAAAGCAGTAGTAGACTTCATGACTGATGATACGACTCCAAGTCGGTGGTGATCGCACGATCGACGTTCGTTTCCGCGCGACAGAAGGGTGAAACTCGAACCGAGTGAGAGAAGAGTCTACTCTATTGAGTTGACGAGTTGTTCTTCTTATTATCGACACGATAACGTTCCAGTTAATTGGACTCGATCGATCTCACAGGATCCGAAAGAGAAGACAACTGCGATCGAGCTCGACAACGATCTCGTTGATTTGTACGGACTATTATCGAGTCGACCTCGTCGAGGTCGACGGAACGTTGTCCAGTGTCGAGTCAAAGGTTTCTCCGGTCTCAGAAGTGTCGTCGACACATTCGGCATCGCGAATACACCACCGCGAACAGAAACAACCAGCAGAGTGCGAACGTTTGTGGACGGGCGTGCGATAATTTCGCACGAACTCGCGACTAGTCATCGATCGACCGCCAGACGCCGTGCGCCGCGACGCCCTCTCCTTGCCTTGCTGCTTGCTGGTTGCGTCCCCACCTGTCTGTCCTCCCAGTCGTGTCAGACATTTACGTATCACGTCGGAAACACACGCCTGGCGTTCTCTCCTCTTGCCCCTTTCTTACTCACTCATTCCCTTCTCTTTTTCTATCCTTGTTCCCATCTCTCTTTATCTCTGTTTCCTCATCTTCCTCTGTCTCTCTTCGCATCTTTCTCCCCGGATCATCCACCGCAGGGGCCTCCACCGCAGATCCTATTCCTTTGGCGTGCGAGTCGCGCCCGCGCGACGTGACAGTTCGCAGATAGAGTCCTGCTGTGCGGGTGAAGGAAAAAAATCACTTTTTCCCACGTCATCATCATCATCATCATCGTTGTCGTCGTTGACTAGTCCGTCCATCCGTGCCAACGTGAGCGTCGTAGATGTCATAGGTGTCACACACAGGTGACGGTACCAACAGCCACGCGTCGTCGTGGCGTCTATCGCGACGGGCAGCCCCCGAAGATGTGTTGCGGCGTGTTTCAACGTGTGCGCAAAAAATGAGTGACTGAGTTTAACGTAACAAATCACATTGTTGTTCGCGAAATATCGCTCTAGTGAGTGCTACGTGTTCATCGCCGGAACGGTGATTCTCTGGGCGACGATACGCAACGACGATAAACAATCCCGGCGGACGATACGCCGAGACACGAGGGTGTGCGTGTCCGAGGGATCAGACAGAATTTCATTCGGATACCGCGGATTAGTCCGCGTCTGATAGGCTACGCCGAAGAACGAAGAATTTTGTTCTCGCAGATGCGAGGGATTATTTCGGAGCGAGAAAGTTGGCTGGAAGAACAGATAAATCCCTCTATCCGGTCGGCGATACGTCCATGCGCGCGCCCGATGTCGATTGGGTATACACGACGCGTACACAGCCAGGAGAGACAACACATACGTACTCTTTTTTTTTTTTTCATCAGAAGAGTCGCTCGACCGAGCGCGTCTTTTAATCACACCTAGACAGTCCAAAGACAGTCTGGTCGAATAACTCGAGCTTCAGAGGTAAGGCTCGCGAAAAGTAGAAGACGAACGACGAAGCGATGTTCTGCTTCCAAAGCCCGTTCACGAGAGCATCGCGCGGCGTCGGCTCGACCGCGTCGTTGTCAACGAGCAAAGCAAAGTCATCGCTGGTCAGCGCCATCCTGTCACCGACCAACAAGACGTCCAACAACTCGACCGAGTGCAACAGACGAGGCTCTGAGGCGACCAGCGAGGGTTCCAACTCCTCCATCAGATACATCGACCAGGCTTCGATGTCAGGAGGTAGCAGCACGGATACTCTGCCGGGTATCCGTGCCGATTACCTGGACCCTGAACCATTATCACCCGGCACGGTAGCGGATGCTCTCACCTCACCGAGCGGCATCACAGTTGTCCTAAACGAGAACAACGAGCGGCAGATTCTATCTCAGAAGAAGACTCAGCAAGAGCACGTTGCTCCGCGCTGCCAGTCGTTGCCATCGCCGACGAACAAGTCCAACGGCAACTGTTCCACCGGTAGTAGATGGCGGCGGAAGCTTCTGCTGCGCCTTCGCTCCAACGACTCCTACAACTCGAACAACGGCGAGGCCTGTTCCTCTTCGACGTCGCCATCGCCCGCGAGCGAATCCACAGCGGATTCGTCGGGCTCCTCGAGGAACCCGACGCGTACCGATGAGGGCACGACGCAAGGCAACGTCACGGCGACGACTGTCTCGTCGCCGTCGGTGCAGATCGACGTGACGGAAAGCCCGCGAAACGATACGGTCGCTGTTTCGATCGGCGACATACCGTCTCTAGAAAACGGCTTCAGCGAGCCCGAGGAGGACGAAGAGGATGTCTGTAATCCGGAGACGGAGACAGAGGAGGGCTCTTCCTTGCCATCCAGCCCAGCTGCAGCTTCCACCGTCGGTCTGGCCTCTTCCACCGTTCCTTACTACGACTTTCTGTCGGTGAGCGGCGGCGCGATGCGCCAGGAGACCACCAGCACCAGCTCGCCGCAGTTATCGTCGGGTGCGAGTATGCGCGACTCCAGCGTGGAGTCGCCACCCGCCGATACCTGCAGCTCCTACGGCGAGGATAGCAGCCCGGGTATCGACTCGTTGAAGCCCGAGGGCTTGGACACGTCCGGCTGTCTGCCGGTTGCGAGGTCCTGCCCGAACCTGGAGAGACAGAGCGCCGGTTGCTCGTCGGCTAGCGGCTCGTCCAGTCCGAGTCCGAGTCCCGGTCCAGCGGGGCCCAGGTTCAAGCCGCTCGAGGAGGGTGACATACAAGTGTGCTACCTGAATCACACCAAGACCCTCGTGAGAAAGATCTTGTCGAGCAAGTTTCTCAGACGCTGGGAGACGCATCATCTCTACCTCAACGACGCCTGCCTGTCCTCCAAGACGGTGAGTGTTGCCCACTGACGTAAATCCAGCGCTTTATGCGACGCGGCTCTTTGTGCGCTCGGTTAAGTTAGGATTTTACGCGCCGCGAGGTGTCTTGCGGTGCTTTTGCGTTTTCGAGCCCCTCCACACAACGACGACGGCGGACTCGCCGCGCGTCTCGGGTTATTTCAAATAATACGAGTTTAAGTTTCTCGCGAGAAACAGGCACTACAGAGAAAGAGAGAGAGAGAGAGAGAGAGATGTCAAGTCTAAAAAAATGTTTCGTTAAAATATAACGGCCGTAGGAGAGAGAGAGAGAGAGACGTGTGCCGCACGTATAAATAGATTTTATTTATATTGCCCGATCGAAGTTATATAGAACACGAAAAGGGCAAGTCTGTCTGTATCGGCGAGTATTTCGATCGGGCAGGTATTTTTACTCTGCGAATTTCGATCTATTTGCAGGTAGAATGGTGTCTCTGTGCATCAATTAATAGTCTTATTTCGTGATTAGCGCCAGAGAACTCCGTAACTCCGCTTGGGATCTCTATTCTCGGCTTAGGTCGCTCTCGAGCTCGTTACGTTACCGCGCGTAGGCGTAGTAGTAGTAGCGAGTCACCCATCTGCTGCATTGTATCATTATCCAGATTACTGGTTACTATGGTAATCTGCAAACAATAATGCGATTCTAACTGCTCGAGAGGAAATCCTGCCTGTCGTGCCTCATCTCTCAATAGGATTATTGTCCGCGCGCCGGACAAATTGATTTAAGATAGAGAGCGAAGTAATCAGTAAGCTATGTGAGAGATAAGCGCGAAGAATTCACTCGTCATCGGCTATTCCTCGATTACGCAAAAAGTTCCTGACAACCCGATATGTCGGGGAACGAGTCGTGCGCGCGCGGTTTGAACCCTTTATTATGATAGTGACGCGGTTGTTTTTGATAATAGCGAATTTATCTCAGTTGAGCTTGTCGCGCCACATCATCTACTTCGATGCGTTCTCTGTTTTTTCTTTTTTATTTCAAAGAGTTATACTCTTTCCAAAAATTCGGTTGCAGTTTTTCTTCTATTAACGGCACTTGGCGAGGTAATCGTCAATTCGTTACCAAGTTGAAAGGGATACCAGTATAGAGTTGGTATCGCTCTGTCAAATAGCATGTTCACTAGATGATGGAGGTATCGTCGGATATCCGGAGAAACTTCGATGCTGGATGTGAGAATATGATACAGGAAGGAATACCCCGAGTAGATAGAAAAACTTGTAGTGACTGGTCTAGTCCGATAAAGGTAGGAAAAGCCGTTGAATCACAAGAGAGGATACGAACGCTCAGCGTTCTGATAGGATGCGGATGGAAGTTGTCTCAGAGGCAATGGAGATCTGGGTTATGGCTCGCCCGATTCGTTACACTTAGTATCGCTACGCTGTGTTCGTTGGACAGCAGAGGAGAATCAAATATTTGATTCTCGCGGCTCATTCATTGGAGATAATAAGAATAATTGGGCCGCAGAAGATGCCTTGATGTTCAGCATGCTCGTAGGATATAGTAGGATCGCTGGACAGCAAGGCAAACTGAGGATCATGACTGATGACGACGAGAGATATAAAGAACGAAAAAAGGAATCGTCACTATAATACTCCGAAAACTCCGGAGTAAGATTCGTTCCTTATAATACAATGATAAGAGAAACTCGCGAGAATGACTTTTGCGTGCTTTTTATCTATGACACATCGTCGACAACTGAACTCTTGCGTTACTGAGCGAGAGGACCAGCTTTGCTCGTATTGTTCATTTTATTTCGTATTTTGTGACAATCTCCTATTCTGGTAAGTAATCGATCTTTTTTTACGCACCTGATGGTGACAAACTTCGCTTAAAGAAAATCGCTAGTTTTCAAACATTCTCTATTTCATAATTCGATTCGTACTGTCGCTTTGTGAGGTGCGAAAGACTCGTTTACCATGCAGTTCGTTATGCAAACTTTGCGCTGCGGAATATACGTATTTTATCATCGCGTTTCCCATCGTACTCGAGCCAGTGGCTTCCTGGCCAAAATTTTGGTTCTCTGCGTTAACTCTGCGAATCTCGTTGAATTTCAAAGTACGACACTACAGCCTTTGGGGCTAGAAATTACTCGATGTCGTTTCGTTGGCGCTTGAAGAAGGACTTGTTTAGATATTCTTTAACTTGCTGTGTTCAATCATATTTTTTGGGATGTATATAATCTGTCAAACCTGGGCAACTTTGAACTGCTATAACTTTATTGAAAACCAATATTTTTTTCCATATAGATATAGAAAAATCTCAGCTATAAGATAGTAGCGCAATAAAACCAAATCTTGCAAACAGATTTGCGTTATTTTTAAATTTTTCTAGACTTTTTACGAAAGTTGGCTTGGAAACGATAGAATATTCGTTCGAATCTCACACGTCTAGCATTATACGCGGGATATTAGTATATAATATTCTAAATTATCTCAATAGTTTATTTTCATTTAATTTTTATTCTTAATTTCAAACGAGCAATCTATGTATTAATTATATAGCTTACTCAGTCGCGCAGATATAGAATATATGCAATAAAAAAGTATTAAATAATCTATCCTGCGCGTCCTGTAATTCATCTTGGAATCTGCTCCTGGTCGTCATCGTGGCACTCAATGATGTTATACAAAAGTACGAGTCGATTGGAAACGCGCTAACTAATCGCGCGTAACTATCTTGATAACTTTTTATACTAGTAATTGATACCAAATTTGACAATTTTATTGCGTCGAATGTTCGATGGAATGTTTCGAATATGTTTCTTGTTCTCTCCATCATCGGTATATGCACGTCGTTGACTAGCGGATGACAAAGGTGTGGACAATTGGCGGGCAATGTTTTTGTCTTTTTAACCGATTGTTTTGGTATTCTCGTATGTCGCGCACTTTTCCGTCACCGAGTCGTTACGTCTCCAGTCGACGAGCAAAGTACACACCGCGACGCGGAGCACGTGTGCGTCGGCTCGTTATTTATATATTTCCCGTTGATTATTTACGCTGAGAAGAAAATATTTAAAAATTATGTGCGTGGGATATAAAGTTTATTTCCATAGAAATAAACTTTATACCTTGGAAATAAATTTCCAAATACTTTTTTCTCAGTGTAATCAGACTCTCGTCGACTTCGCGTTAGTTGACGCGCGTTTCTCCGGTCGACTCGTGTCTACGCGACTATCAGTGCCAACGAGTGTTTTGTGCGACAAAGCAGCCAGGAACAGGTTGTTAAATCGGGAAAGCAAGACACGGGACGTCAAGATACGATCAGTGGTATACGTATCCAGGTGTGTCGAATTTATTTAATGCACAGAATGTTTTCTGTTCGCTCTTGTGCAAACTGTATAATGTATTGCTTACTGCAATTAAGGATAAAGATTTGTTCGATTCAGGTGTCCTTAGAGACTTTTGCGAGGAGTCTTCGCAATTGCGGAAGCGAGCTTGTGATAATAATTCTGTTAATCATTGAGAATTGTGTTTGTGATAATATATTGTCTTTTTATCAGCGCGTTCTCAAATGAAACGTCATTTACAGTCGCGTCTGTCCCACGAGCCGATGTATTGCGGAAATTTATCATATCTATAAATATTTATTAACGAAGCATACCCGTCACCTTTATATTCATCGCTGAATATTAACTTATCATTTATTTATTCAAAGAATTCCAAAAAGTTCTCAGTGTACCTGAGATACGAATGTTACGAGTGGTGGGGGATCAACGCGATCGTAAAAATATATCGTGAGAATCCACGACGTGGTGTATAGGATGTGTGCGTGCGCACACACCTGTCATTTTCAGAGTTGCGATCGGCTCGCTGATCGTTTATCATCGCCAATCGATTGTCCAATCTCTATGCTCGCTTATCGATGGGCCAGCAGCGAACACGTAACAGCGAGACTCGCTCGGGGATCGGTCATCTCGGGCAACAATGATTGCGCGTCTCCCACCCCACGCTACCCTTTCTTCTCGCCTCTGCGACCTGCGTGTCGTTGGTGACTTTGCGACTCGCATTGTATCGCAACGCAGTCTGCATCGTCAGGATCGATACAGTCCGCAGTTGGGCGATTTATGGACGATATACGGCAAAATGCAGCGCGGTCGGTCGCGAGGGCATGGCTGCGGTCGCAGCTGCACCCAAGTGTAACGATGAGCGATCGGCAGGTCCTTCCCTACTCCCGCACACTACTGTTCGTCGTGTTTGTGGGTGATGACAGTTACGTAATCGCGATCGGGTTTTCCGCGCGAGAGTTCCCGACGAGAGAAAACCGTCGGGCACAAATCGGCTAAATTCATTACTTCCTCCCGTCCTTCGACGCGGTCCCGTCGACTGTTACCGGAGAACCACCGTCGTCGCTGCATTCTTGCCGTCATCCGCGAAATGCAATTTATCGCTTTTGCTTTATCGGGGAATGCTCTCTCCTTCTCTCTCTCTCTCTTTCTCTCTCGTTCTCACGCGTACCATGTAGAGTGCCACTTGATGTACTTCGTTGATGCGATAGCTTCTATTTTCGTATCGATGCGTTTGCACGTCCTCGACTACGAGCTTCAAACAGTACCGCATCTCTTTCCTTGTCTCCTCTCTCATAATAATGACACGTTCGTTATTAAATTGTTAGAGAATATTCAACTCAATGTAAATCGGCAGAATGAAATATCGGCGACAAGTATGCAAATACTCGACCGTGTCTAATTGGTGCGACTAATCATGTCGAGTGACACGCAATTTTTGCATAACATCGTGAAATCACGAGACCGCGGAGCGTACGTTCTCCGTTCGACCACACAGGAAGATGAAATTGTCTCTTGAGGAATATTTCGTCCGGCTGTCTATTGTCGGCTCGTCAAACTCCGCAAACTTTATTTTGCGATTGCATCTGACGCGTTAGACCGGGAGCACACGCAGAGCAAAGCGTAAGCGGTAAAAATTAAGCGATAAACAAATTGACCAGTCACAGTCGATGATTCTTCTGACGGGCCAAG